TTGGATGCACAATGGTGAAAAGGACCGCTCTGTCTGAAGCAACCAAAAAGTACCCCGAGGGCAGGAAAAGGAGTAGAACTCTGTGCCAGGGGTGTCTAAAGGGTCTCCATGGGCCTTACGTCCAAAAACACATGTGTTAGGATCCATTCATGCTTCATCCATCAAAAAATTCACATAATTTACACCGGTAAGTCATGTTCATTCTTAGTCGAAATCGACGAGTCTGTTTACATGCAGAACAGAAAAAAATCATGTCGGGTGAGTTTTGCCACAACAAGGGGTCTTTGGAGGCATTTGTCAGATTAGTGAGTGTTTCATGTTTTGTGTACAACATAGATCAGCAGCTACACATTACACTTATGCCGATAATCACAGCACACATACTGCTGGGCACAACAGTCATGTCAGATCAATGGAGAGCATATAATGCAATTGGCACCACTCCGGGATTGACTATTCAAACGGTCATTCATTCTGTTACGTTTTTGGATCCAAACTCAGGTGCCAATAAATAGTAATAGCCAATACCCAAAGCATCAAAATCTGCAAAAGAGAGAAACAAGCACCACAATGGCACACACAGACATATGCTCGATTTGTATATGATATATGTGTATTCATGTGGACATGTGGCATCAACGTGTTAAAGTAAATGGTTTTTATGTCTTCAATGCCATTCTAGACGATATTGTTCAATTTTGGCCACTACAGTAGCAGAGGACCTTTAAATTTAAAGAAGTAAGTATGTTTTAATTCAAAATAACATTTGTTTTATTGATTGGAAGTGTGAAGTGTTTTAAAGGAAATGTGAAATAATGTATAATAATTTTTGAATTTAAAGTTTTTTAGGATAATTCAGATTGATCAGGTTAAGTTACAGTTAAGGGATACATTTTAGGGTTCATGTTAATGTTAGGTTTAGGGATACATTTAGTAGGTACTTGGATATGAGGCTATTTTGACGTAATCGCGGCCCATAGGGTTTTGAGACGCTTTTTTTGGTGTGCTGGATGATAGGGTTCACTAAAAAATTATTTTTTCGCGCTAGAAACGTCCGATCAACGAACGAATTACTGTTCTAGTTACGTTAATGAACGGGCTTTAACGACATCCATTTTGTTTTCAGTAATATCAGTATGTCGTAAATAAAAAAAAATGTGAGAAAGCAGCTAAGTCTAATTTATCAATATTTTGAAAACTATTCGTTGTCCCATTTTAAATCGACCTGGTGTACCTGTGAAATTGTATAAAATATCACCATGTAAAATTTCAAGTCTCTAAGATGGCCATAACAATGTTATTTTTGGCCAGAACGGGTCTAAAAATTAAAAAAAAAAAAAAAAAGGCCGAAAACGAAAGTGACAAACCGGAAACAGTATTATTTAACTATAGTTGACAGATAAGAAAGCCCAAGACATTTTTTATGCCTTAAGCAATCAAGTTCCATCTTAATTAATATTAGGTTTTATTTCAATATCTATACAATAATAGACATATTAAGTAATATTTTATCAGATGCTGCTCCATTTCAAGTTAAATCATAATTTTTATTGTAATATTGCCTCTATTATATTTCCTTTTTAAAAATAAATTACGTTTGGTCTTAATTTTTTAAAAATAATTTTTTAATTTTTTTTTTTTTGGAAGTTTTTATAATGACATTAAAAATATTTTTAAAATATTATATTTAATTTTTTTAGTTTTTAAATCAGCAAAGATGTTGCTAATATGATGATGAACACTTCTGGATAGTTTCATAATATTTGTTTACTCTGCTATAAAGTTATCAGCCTTTTCGTGCAAATTTTTTGAAAAGAGGTCACAAATCTCTGTTAAAAAAAGTGAGTTTTTATTCACGAAAAAAATCATAACTTTTTAACCAAAAGTGCTACATGAAAAATGAAAACATATTATTACTTCATTTAACAAGAGCTATCTTAAAGGTGTGTTCATTTTTTAATTAATTCAATTTGAAAATTTTATCCAAGTACCTACATTTAGGGTTCAGGTTAGTTTAGGGATACATTTAGGACATAAGTTCGTTGGTCACGATAACCAAGATGGCGGCCGCGGGCTGATCTATCCGAATTGTTTTTTATTCAAAAGAACATTTGTTTTATGGGAAGTGTGAATAATAATTATTTTTGCGGTGAATTAAAATGAAGTATCCACTTCTGATACCGGGTCCGAATAGCCGCAGCCAAACTTTTCATTACAATGACAGATAAGACAGTAGCCGATTCGCCGCCAAAAAAAAAGGCAACTTTGACTTTGACCTTGATTGATGTCAAGTTAATGATTATAGAACTATATTTAAAATAGAATTTAAAAATACAATAAAATTATAAACATAAACGTATTCTTACTTGCTTTTAGCTGTACGTCACATTGGTCTTCGTGTTTCTTTAACGCTGCATGAAATTCTTCAAAATATGGACATTTCTCGCTCGACAATAATGGCTCTAAGATGGCAAACAGGAAGTATCCGTCATAACCGTCAATTGACCAACCGAATATATAAAGCCCTCACGTGACCAGCCGGGTCCGAATAGCCAATTGCCACTCCGATTTAAATTTATTAATGTACAGCGTACAGCGGAACCCCCCAACCTATTAGCCTATATTCTATATGTATATAATATTATATAATAACGCAATAATTTAGATTCATAAGATCGGATTGTCTTCATTATTTATAGCGCCTTACAATGTACAAGTTGGACATTGGAGGAGCTCGCAAAAAAAACAACAAACAAACAAAAAAACGCAATTGACGACGATCACCAGCTTGTTGATGAAAAGGTCCCTGAAAGTGACATGCCAGTGACGGCATTCCTTCTGACTCTTCCACAAGAGTGGAAAACTAATACAGTTTCATTCCTTAAACCCTCTCCTCTGCCTTTGCTGGTAAAATAAAAGGAACGATAATGTTCACGAATAAATGAGGGTGTAGGTGTAGTGACTTCAGTAATTCGTTTTGGCTTCTTCGCTAGAGTGGTAGCATACTTGGGACTTGGGGATATCTGTTCTCTCGGACTCCCTTTGCTGCGCTTCTGGTGACCACCACTGCCCACCCTACCCCCCCCCCTCCGAGGAAACTGTCTGAAAAAAGCACTGGTTATTATATGAACCAAACTAGAGGCCATTTCATGATGGTAGGGGAAGAGCCATTTTATAAATTATTTCTGCTGAGAACATAGAGCTCCGCTTGGAGGGGTGGATTTGGGAGAGCGCTTGTGCACATGACACGCGGAGGCTGGATCGATACTTTACTTCTGAAAAAATGTTTTTAAATTTGCATCTACCCCCAACAAAACCACCCCCCACTGCCCCCCGGTGGACACACATGCCCCCCCCCCCCCACTTTCCACAATAACTCAAGTGGAAGATTATCGATCAGTTTAAAAAAAATATTATTTTTTTTTAATCAGAGCTGAATTTAAAGATGTATTAGGCTATTTATTCATTCAGAGAGACGCAGGCGGCTCCGGTTCTAATGTTGCCTACCGCTGTAATGGGATTAAATTAATTTCCTGACTTCGGGAGCATTAAGTGCCATTTTAATTATGATTACATTATAAAGCACTACAAAATAAAAATAAAGAACAGGGTAAAAAATCAAGTAGACCACAGAAACAGAACGTAGGCCTACTGATAGTGTGTAGCAAAGTGGTATTGACAAAGGGTGATTACTCTTGAAAAATTCTTCTAGGTGTGTACATTTGGGTAAGGCTGGATTGGTTGTGAATGGCAGGATAGGAGCATTTTAAAAAATGTTTCTAGACTTGTGACTTAATCATGTCGCAAGTCTGTCTTTATCAGTGTGAAAGTGTATATAACTATGTCAAGTCTCCTTTAGCTCAGTTAATTAACATCTACAATCAAACCTATTAATCAACGTCAACATCTACAATCAGGCCTATGCCAAATTAATTATATTAATCAACATCTACAATCAGGCCTATTAATCAACATCTACAATCAGGCCTATTAATCAACATCTACAATCAGGCCTATTAATCAGCATCTGCAATTAGGCCTAATTTAAAGCTTAAAAATAAAACTTGCACTGTTTTGTTGCATTGATTGCCTCTGACTCTGGATAGAGAGTAGCGGTAAGAGAGTGTAAACTGAGTGGAGTAGGCTCAGTTCAGTAAGTAACTCAGTAACTCAATAAAATTAAATTCAATGTGAATAGATAGAAAAATATCCAAATTTAGTCATACTAAAATGACTAAATTACTAGCCCCTAACTAATAGTGCTGTACCTCTACATTTGTTTTACACTCACTTTAAGCTATGACTTTGAAAACTTTGTTGTCAATGACAGTATATTCAGTATATATTATTAATTATAGAGTCAAGTCTTTAACTTTATGGTCCACAATTTGTAGTTTGTAACTAAATACATGCTAGTTTTATTTAATGATTTAAATTTGTTTGTTTATGAAATAGAAATTAACTAAAAATATATTTAAATTAAATAATAAATTTTAATGTTTTAAAAAATATAATTATATATATATATAATTAACATTAATCATAAGCCTACCACTACTACTAAGACTGAGTGGCCTACTTAAATTTTAAAATTTAATGAGACAGTGGTCTTAGTCTTGTGTGGATTAAATTATTTAATTCTGCTTGTATTAAAAATGTCAGTGATTCAGTCTAAGACTAAGAGAGAAAGCTTAACACGTACTTTCAATTCAAAAAGATCTAGTATATTATAATTATATTTTGTAATTGGAAAATTAAAATGATTTTATTATTTTATTGCTAATAATTTCAAAAATTATTTTTATTTACTTTTATAAACTAATTTTTTCTTTTTCAGTTATCAGATAACTTTAGGTGCAATTTTACTTGCTAGAAATGAAATTCAACACTTATCTACTGAAAATATCAGGTTCATATTCTAGTTTATTCAACACCTTGAGGAAGTTTCATCTTAACTTTCATAGAAATTATCCATTACTATCTGGTAACATGACGTATATCTGTGATAAACAGTTACCACCATTCTCTTATATTAGATTTACTAAATGCTATAGTACTCTAAAAAAGTCATTCATATCCAGCTTGACAGAAAATATAGATATTGAAGAATTAAAGGAACAAATGAGAAAACAAAGGAATGTTACAAGTGAGAGAATTTCTATTAAAGAATTTGTGGCTACAGAAATTAACAAACGTTACAGCAAAGCTATTGAGAGCTTTAATCAACAAGAAACAAAGGCATTAAAAGTTATAACTCTAGAGCACAGCTTCTTATTCCATGAGGGCTATGATATACCAGTAAGTTTTTAAGCATCTAAAGGTCATATTATGATAAAGGGATAGAATTGCCATTGTTGTTTAAAATATTAGTTCGATTATAATGGTTTGTGTTATTTAGAACTATTTAAGCATTATTCTATTAAACGAAACAAAAATTAAAATGAATGATAAAGAAATGGAACAAAAGTTTGGTAAAATTTGTATGAAATTTATTTTTTGCTGTATTCCCTGTTAAAGCCAGCAGAGGAAATGGAAAATAAGCACTGGTTGGAAGCATTGACATTTGAAACCATAGCAGACCGTTTAGTTTATTATTTGAGTTTACAAGATATGAAAAGATATCAAGTATCCATCCGAAATGATAGGGAAAACCTTGAAGATCTAATACATAATAGAAATGCAGATGGAGACAGTTGTGGGATAATTTTGGATTATGAGATTCCAGACAGGCTCTTAAGGTTTGTGAGCTAGAATATTAAATATGTTCATTAGAATTTAAATACTGCTTACAAATAAATGCAAATCGAGGAAAAACACGAATTTCAATGTCAAAATATAACAATACATTTTTATGTTGCTTTTAAAAATTAAATGAATTATTTTGGAGATTATGTATTTCCTGACAGAAATTGGGTTTTGTATTATTTTTCTCTTCTTTTTTTATCTGAATTTCTAGTACATTAGGTTCAATCAGTCCAATACATGTAGAGTATTGCCTGAAGCAACTTGTCAGTCCAATTCACTTAATGAAATATAAAATGATTTACAATAAACTTTAACACTGTCCTGATTATTTTTATGCTCAACTACTTACATCAATTTTTTTATTACTTTACTTTAATTTTGTGCTACTTATTTTAATGTTATTTTTACTTATGTCAGTTTTGTAATACTTTAATGCTTACTTAAAAAATCACATCACTTACTTTAGGGGTATATTACAGACTACTTACTTTAATCTCACACTTCTAACTTTAATGTGCTGCTTACTACATATTAAAAAAAAAAAATTGATCCTTAGATGGCACAACAACAGACTTGCATCAGCCATGCAGTTTGGCATTCCTCTTATTATTGACATGGGCTTTACTGTGAGCACCCCTACTGAGTTAATTCCCCTGAGTCAGCAGCTGTGGGAATTGTATTGCACTAACAGATCACATCCTGATCCATATCATCTAGTCTTCACTAACTGTACCCCATCACATCCAGTCTACAGGTACACACAACAAGCTTTTCTTCTTTCTTTACATTTATTTAAAATTCTTACGAACCATGAAACTCACATGGCATTTATTATTTGGTTTTATTAAAAAATTTCAATGATGTCAAAAGCAAGATTTCATTGTGTAAAATTAGTTATAAATCAGCATCCCTGACACATAAAAAATATGCTATGTTTTTAGTTATCAATAACTAAGTTACATTCTGTAATCTAAACACAATGGCATAGTTAGAGTTTTTCCTCTGTAGTCTTTTCTTGAGTTATATCTCCCAGCCATGACATTTCCTTTACACTCCTGGCTCAATGGAGTAAGCAAGACCATATTTTAACATTAATTTCATACTGAATATTCAATAATTGTTGAGAATATCTAAAACCAGTGAAGAAATTGTCATTGAGAATGGAACAGCTTTGTGGGGGAAAAATGTATTAATCTGTCTGAATGTCTTAAAAATATATTCAAGTTACTTGAGGAGAAAATTTAATTTATATTCATAATTAACTATTTCTCACGTTAATTTTTTGTAAAGATAATGTAATTTCATTTTTTCAAAAATGGGATGAGGCTAAAAGTCATAACACAAGATGCATCCTTAAGTTGAAAGGGAGCTCATGTCTATTACGAATTTTTTGTTGTTGTATACAATTAATAATTGCAATGTTTCTTTGTACAGATACTTAGAGTTGCATCATCTGGTAGAGACCATGTTTATCCTTGCCACATTTACAGATAAGAATCATTTGCAACTTTTCCCTACACAGGAAAAGGTATACCTTAGTGCCCAAGCTAAACAGGTATTAAGTCTTACCTTAGTGCCCTAGCTAAATATGTTAGTGTATAAAATTTTTACCTTTGTGCCATAGCTGAACAGTTAAGTGTTTAAAGTCTTATCTTGATGACCAAGCTAAACAGGTAAGTGTGTCAAGACTTGCCTTAATGACCACACCTGGGGTTTCGAAACCCCCTTATGAGCCTATTTATAACCATCATTCACCACCACCCTATGAAAGAAGGCCCCCACCAATGGATGCACCTCCAAAATGGAAGGAATAACTATAGGCCTCTTCCTCCTTGCAGTCTGCCAACTGATAGCGAAAGAAAAAGTGTAAATGCCCAAGACAAACAGGTAAGTATATAAAGTCTTACCTTGGGCCGAAGCTAAACAGGTTAGTGTCTAACGTCTTACCTCAGTGTGTTAAGTAGACAGGTAAGTGTATCAAGTCTTTAACCTTAGTCCCCAGCTCACCAGGTAAGTGTCTAAAGTCTTACCTTAGAGTCCAAACTAAACAGGTAAATATAGTACTGTTGATCAATATACAACTTTGGGCCCTTTCAGCACCACGTTGCGGGAGCCCTTCCAATATGTTGTTTCACTTTGTTCTAAGTCATTAATAGATCTGGGATATGTCAGGGGATGGGAGAATTAAAATTATGACATTTTAACTGTCATATTGTGGCCTCCCCCCTCTCCTGTATGACAGTTTTGTCTTCTCCTTTTTGCAAGTGGCTTGTGGCAGAAAATGTAAGAACCAACCCAGGTGGCACCAATTGTAGCTATGCCACTGGGTAACATTATCACAGTCTGTCTCTGGTAAAAATAAAGTTACAGGTTAACGTGGCTCAAATTCGAAGTCAGATCAGCATAAAATAATTGTATTTCATTAAGAATGAATTAAGAAATGCCGACATCATTTTAAAAAACCAACAAAGTAACTTGAGATTTATTTTTTAGGAAAAGCTGGTTAAAAAAATAAGAATCAATATGCATTAAGCCTATTCTCCCTAATATATTATAGTCTGATAACTACCACAAACTGTCAATGGGGGGAAAGGAAGAGGAGTGTTGGAAATATACGTACTCGCCGCTGTTGGAACTATCATCATTTCGGCAAGTTTAGTTGTGTGGAGAACAGACGAACTTGGAGAGAGCATAGTGCTACAGATAAGCTAGGAACTTGCCGTGGTATCCTCTTGTGCCGGATGAGTCTACCGATCTCCAGATCCCATCATGTCTTCTCGTGTTTACTTGTGGTATCAGTTAGGACTCTCAGATAACAGAAGAGTTGGCATCCGTTTGCAGCATGCATGGAACAATTACAGGAAAAGACTAATTTTCGTGGAAGTGCAAACTATTTTTCACACATTAACCTTCTGTGGAATCAACTTTGAGGTGTTACAGTTGATGGAGGAAAAATTGGGCTGAAGTGAGGAAAGGTCTGGTGGAGCAGATCAGGACTCGGAAGATTTGCTACTTCTGGGCACTCTGTTCATACACTGCATCATGCATCAGCAAGCACTCTGTGGGAAAGACTTAGCTGTTTCTTGTGTACTAAAAACCAATTGTTTCTGCTATGAATTTCATTCCGTGACATGCACTCAAATCACAGTCAGTTCCAGGCTTTTCTTGAAGAAATTGATTCTGAATTCTGTGACTGGCCTTATCACACAGCAGTGAGGTGGCCCAGCTGCAGTAAAATCCTGTTTTGTTTTTAAAAGCTGCAAAATGAAATAGATGTTTTTTTCTGTTTTTTCTCACTGAAAAAAAATTGAGCTGTTTCACAGCTGTCAGATCCTACCTGGCTGTCACAGTTGTCAATTTTTATTGACATCACATCCCACGTGAATGAAGTGAACTTGAAACTTCTGGGAAAGGATAACCTATTTTGTGATCCCTACAGAATCATTAAAGGATTTCGGAGAAAACTGTCATTGGTTGAAGCACCACTGGAAGGGGAAAACTATGCTCATTTTCACTGTTTCAAAGAGTTTTGCGCTACAATTGACAAGGATGTCAAACTTGATTTTCCATAAAAAAATTATTAGTCACTTGAAGAAGCATTTGAAGTTGAAGAGATTTTCAGATCTTGACAAAATGTAGAGTGACATTCTTCTGTTCCAGAATCCGTTTGATTGTAACCTTGATGATGTGCCAGTTGAATTACAGTTGGAGCTCAGTGGTATGCAAGCAAATGACCTATTGAAAGAGAAGGAAAACTTATTGGATTTTACTGCTGCTTACTTGCTGTTGAGTTTCAGAAACTGAAGAAATTTGCTGCTGGTATGTCATCGGTGCTTGGAACAACTTTTGTCTGTGAGCAAAACTTTTTCAAAAATGAATTATGTGAAGTCAACACATCGAACGATATTGACTGATGAACATTTAAAAGCATTTATCTTGATTGGATGCAGCAATTCCAAACCAAACATTGATGATATCTGGAAAGCCCAACATCAGTTTCACAAATCTCACGAAGCTTTTTTTGCTGCTTAGTTTGTGAGATTTGAACATGTGTGCACTAGGTCTGATGTAACTATCTTTTTGCTAACGTCCCCTTCTTTGATAAATTTTTTGGTAAATAAATATGTTGGTTGTCTTTGTTTTTTGTGCATTGCACGCCACTCACCCATGATTAACATGGAATACCAAACTTAGTTTTTTTGTCTTTTTTCCCAGAGCTTTCATTCTACCTTATGATTATAAATAATTATACGGCTCACAGTGAAAACGTTTGGTGACCCCTGATCTAAGCTTAAGTCTGCCTTTGAGCCATTTTCCTCTGGGGTTTTGGTGGTGCACCCTCTTCACTCCTCTGTCATTTGGCATTCTTTCTAAGTGTCCCACCCAGTGTAGCCTGCCCTTTTTATTTCTAGAACTAGCATGGGATCTTGATATAGACTATACTATTTCTGGCTGGTTTGTATTCCCATTTATATTCATCCTTTGTTGGTCCGTATATTTTCCAGGGAACATTTCTCTCCCACGTGTTTAATAGGTTTTCAGACGTTTTTGTTAGGGTCAAGTTTGCGAATGTTGAAACTGGTCTGATTACAGTGGCGTAGCGAAGGTGTTTGCCGTCCGGGGACAAGATTCGCGCCCGGGGACAAGATCGATTTTAAAGCGCCCCTTTTTCTTTTTTTCAACTCTCAAACCCATTATTTTCAACATTTTTGCGCCCCTAACTAGCTGGCGCCCGGGGACATCTGTCCCCCCCTGCCCCCACCACGCTACGCCTCTGTCTGATTACAGATCCGGATAAGCTTGCTTTTATTACTGTTAGTAATTAATTTCTTTCATTTATTAAGGATCCTAGGTATTTGAATTGATTTACTTTTTCGAAAGTTTGGTTTCTAATTTTAATGGTTTCATCTGTCTATTCTTCTCTTGAAATAGTCATATATTTTGTTTCTTGGTTGTTAACTTCTAGCCATGCTTGTAGTGATACATCTTCTAATTCAATAAAAGCTTTTGGTACGTCATAATGATAAGTATGGATTTTTAAAATTATTGTCTTTTAATTATTTTTTTAATATTTAAATTTATTTTCATTATCAGCTTTAGTAAGGAAAATAGAGATGATATTAAATCATAACCATAAATAAACAATAGAATGTAACAGCATAAGCTGATAATCTGAACAACTTCAACACCGCCAAAAACAGCAAACTTCAATTGCCTATGATTATTTTGACATTGAAATGTTAACATTCATTATTCACCCATTATTAATGGAATGTTATAATTGATTATTAACAAATTCTTTTTTTTTTTTTTGGCAGGCTTTAATTAAGTATGACCCAAACACAATTTACATAATGGGGGCATACCATGATCCACTTGTACGTAACAAGGAATCATTTGCCCGAGCCAAAGAACAGAAATTGCCCTGCATGCGTTTGCCTATAGATGAACATGTCAAGTAAGTTCAAATACTTTTTCTTTCAAATTTTATTAACTAATTATACGTTTGTATTCTGTATTATGATTATTAAAGTTGAACTTATTGTTTGATTTACAAAATTTGTTTGTGCCTAATTCATGCTCTTTCAAATTTGGGAGAAATTGTAAATGTAGATTGACAGTTTAATTGAGGTAAATTTTAAATTTACATTCTTTATTCCAATATTTGCTGTTATTCAACATATCTCATTCAATCCAGTCAATGTTTTTATTAAAAATATCTTATTCAATGCAGTCAATATTTTTATTAAAAATATCTCATTCAAACCACTTATTCATTCATTTTATCAAAATATTTCATTTAATCCATTCAGTCGATCTTTGTATTAAAATATCTCATTTAATCCATTCAATCTTTCTATGTAAGTGTCTCATTTAATCCATTCAGTCAATCAATAGAAAGATTGAATGGATTAAATGAGAAATTTTAATACAAATTTTAATACAAAGTGTCTCATTTAATCCATTCAGTCAATCAATTCCATCAAACAATCTCATTCATTCCATTCAGTTAAATTTTAATAAAATATCTCATTCGATCATGTGATTCAAACCCTAGATTGAACTTGCTTGACCAGAGTTTGTAAATTTAAGAAACAGATACTTCATTTGAGTTGATGTTTCTTGTGGTTTAATTTCAGATGGCGACATCAAATCCACAAGGATCTAGACATCAACCTTGTAGTAGATATTTTATTATCAGTTAAACAAAGCAAATCTTGGAAAACAGCTTTCCAAACTGGAGTCCCACACATGATTAATCAGATTTTGTGACTTCTCTAGTTCAAAGTTAATTTACACTGGAGATATTGTATAGATCTAATAAATTTATCATTTTTCACTTGGTTGTATTTTGTGCTGCATCATTATTTTGTCCGTAGTAATATATAATACTTGCCAGTATTTAATTTATTGTCATATATTTTTTTTAAATATTTTTTTCTTCCAGTAATTTGTCACAATTTTTATGACTTTAAAAGGAGAAGGGAGAGGGGGGGGGGTGGGTTTGTTCTGGGGTTACAGCTCTAGATAAAATTGTCACTAAATAACACATTTCAATAAATATCATCTCATACTGGTAATATCTTTAGTTTAAAAAAAAGTGCTTACATTTGTAGATGGAATATTGATTTATGTGATCAAAAGTTGCTCTGCTAATGGGATTTAGTTCTGTTACTTGGTCTACAGTAATGTTCTTTTAGTTTGGCAAACAGTTTTTCTAGCAGATGTCAATAAAATTAATTACTAAATAATCGACCTCTAAGATCTAGTTTATTATTTAAAACTGACTGTGAGAGATTTGCAGTATGTCATAAATCACTTCATGATTAGTCACTTGATTTCAGAGAGATAAGGGCAAACAATGCATTATCCCATCCCTTCAAATAACTTCAACATGTGGCTATTTTTAGATATTATTATCAACCTTCTACACCCATACCTGGTCACCAAATTAGTTGGACAAGTAACTAACCCTGTGATGGGGGGGAAATCAGTCCCCTTTAGTGACATAACCTGCCACTCATTAAATGATATACCCTGCCCCACACTAAATGACATAACCAGGCAGACACTAAATGACATCCTGTCAGATTTAGACACTAAACTACAAACCCTGCCACACTAAATGACATACCTTGCCACTCACTAAATGACATACCCTGCCAGACACTAAATAACTTGCTAAGAACGCTGGCCATTACAACACTATAATTTATTAGGCTGCCCAGTCAGAGACAAATACCTTAATTAAGCCGTAGGGATTACTTTGCTCCTAAGTCTACACCAGTGGTCCCAAAATTTTCTTCACTTAGATTCACTTCCAGAAGAACTTTTGCTCTTCTCAAAACTAAATTTGCTTGCAAGAGAAAAAGCATAGAAATCCTTACAAGATCAACTGAACTCATCTCTACTCACTACAAGTCTTTGCTCATTTTAACGCAGGTCATGTTTGCAAGTTGAATCTATAATGGCAGTGCAAGTCACATATACAACTTCAAAAGGTTTGTCTGAAGTTGATTTCCTTTTATACTTTTTCCAGAAGTTGTGAGCTCATGCTAACGGTTGGTCAAAAATTGTGAGCTCATGCTAACGGTTGGTCAAAAGTTGTGAGCTCATGCAAACGGTTGGTCAAAAGTTGTGAGCTCATGCTAATGGTTGGTCAAAAGTTGTGAGCTCATGCTAACGGTTGGTCAAAAGTTGTGAGCTCATGCTAACGGTTGGTCAAAAGTTGTGAGCTCATGCTAACGGTTGGTGAAAAGTTGTGAGCTCATGCTAACAGTTGGTCAAAAGTTGTGAGCTCATGCTAACGGTTGGTCAAAAGTTGTGAGCTCATGCTAACGGTTGGTCAAAAGTTGTGAGCTCATGCTAACGGTTGGTCAAAAGTTGTGAGCTCATGCTAACGGTTGGTCAAAAGTTGTGAGCTCATGCTAACGGTTGGTAAAAAGTTGTGAGCTCATGCTAACAGTTGGTCAAAAGTTGTGAGCTCATGCTAACGGTTGGTCAAAAGTTGTGAGCTCATGCTAACAGTTGGTCAAAAGTTGTGAGCTCATGCTAACGGTTGGTCAAAAGTTGTGAGCTCATGCTAACGGTTGGTCAAAAGTTGTGAGCTCATGCTAACGGTTGGTAAAAAGTTGTGAGCTCATGCTAACGGTTGGTGAAAAGTTGTGAGCTCATGCTAACGGTTGGTCAAAAGTTGTGAGCTCATGCTAACGGTTGGTGAAAAGTTGTGAGCTCATGCTAACAGTTGGTCAAAAGTTGTGAGCTCATGCTAACGGTTGGTCAAAAGTTGTGAGCTCATGCTAACGGTTGGTCAAAAGTTGTGAGCTCATGCTAACGGTTGGTCAAAAGTTGTGAGCTCATGCTAACGGTTGTTGGTCAAAAGTTGTGAGCTCATGCTAACGGTTGGTCAAAAGTTGTGAGCTCATGCTAACGGTTGGTCAAAAGTTGTGAGCTCATGCTAACGGTTGGTCAAAAGTTGTGAGCTCATGCTAACGGTTGGTCAAAAGTTGTGAGATAATTCAAAAGGTTCCAAAAATCTTCCAGTCTTATTGGGAAAACACTTTTACATTGGTTTAACACTGCTGGGTCACTTTATAGAACCCTGATATCACATCCATAACTGTATGATTGGGCTAATCCACCTTCAATCAGTTCATGTGAACTTTATCTCTTATTGATGGAAATTATCTAGCAGGCTTGAGATAGCCAGTTACATTTAACATGGGCAGTTTAAAGCTGGCAGAGGTCCTCAAACATTTCTATAAAAGCTCTATGCTACAGAAAAAAAAAGAATTTTTAAAAATATATTTTATGTCTACATTATTTGAGAATTTTTCCAAAACAGATAAAGTAAAATTTTGTACCTGGCCTACTGAATGAAGTCAGCTCTTTATGTACTTAATGTGAGACCATCGACACTCTATCAACTCACATGATAAATAAAGTACAGTGAAGTTATAAAGGGGCTCAGAATATAAGCAATTCATTTCTATGCACCCTTTTGACAATAACAAGGTGAATAAAAAATCATTATCCCTTCAAACCTCAAATCATATTCCCACACGAAACAATTCATTTTTATTTTTGATGCACCATTTAATGTTACATGGCCATAACTTTAAAAAAAACTACATTTTTATCCCTTTTGAGTTTTCCCTGCCGTCGAAGATTTTTTTTTTTTTTTTAAATTTTCAAGTATCTGTCAAATTTTTCTGGAGCAAAATATCCTGCAACTGCAAGGCTAAGATGTGTATTAAAAATTGATCTATCCAAAAACTAGGGAAGTGATTTAAAAAATGATGGTAGAGTCAAAAGGGTCTGAGATCAACCATTCAAAGGTTAAGAAGATTAAAGGTAATGAAATAAGTAAACTTTTTAAAGTTTGTTTTCAGATATTTTCCTGCCTTTTTAATCAACAAACCCTGAACTGCTTACACTGTACACATCATATAACAGCATGCACTGCTGTACAATGTACACACCTCATTTACACAGCATTAAAAAAACCCTCACAGAATGTTTATTGTTGACGTTTATTTCAGTTAATGTGTACAAACAATATGTTTGTTCATGTATTGCATACATCAAGATTCACAATTTCTTCTTCAAATTCATCTAAAAATAGCTATGGGGGGAAAATGAGCAAAGTTCTAATATAAATAGATTTCAGTGAATTGAGAAATAGCTCAACCCTGTATGTTTAGTTTGTCTTGTTAAAAATTATTAAAAATACAAAAAAAAAAAAAAAAAAAAAAAAAAAAAAAAAAAAAAAAAAAAAACAAATAAGGTCAATTTTTGTTGGTTAACCTGTACTTGTACTGCTTAAGTGGAGCTATTATTATGGTGCTCATTCACTGATACAGGAACTTTCATAGATGACAAGTGAAACTGCTATCCCCTATAATAGTCAGGTGGTTACATGGTTCAACCAAGAGCCAATGTGTATATGTTACTTCAGCTGAACGACACGTTTGATGTTTTGTCAGCCTATGGAACAAAATAAGCTCATACTGATACAAGATTGGGTAACAAAATGAAAACATGAAATTGATATTGATGATTAAAGTTGAAAAAATCTCAATATGCCTGTACAGGAAGGAAGCTTGTTAGGAGCAAGCAGAGTACATGGAGTACTATTATGCCATGCATTCGATGATAGCATCAAATGCAGGGGCCCCTAATGATTAAATTTAAATCATAAAAAAAAAAATCATGATGTGTTTTAACATGGAATGCTTTAGCATTATCTTATAAAAAAAAAAGAGACACTATAAGAAAGAATTTAAGTCCAATATTCTTACTCCTAGCCAAATGATTAAAAAAAAAAAATCTATTGCCGACAGGGTTTTAGATATGATAATAAAGAAGACGATGGGGTAACTTAAACTGGCATTTTATGTTTGGATGTAGTTGTTCACACACACAAGGCAATTATGTAAAGTAATCTCCAAGCAAAACAAAAATGACATTGCGGCATGGGATATTAAATGTATATTTAGTTACACTGGGTAACAATGTACACAAGATTAAAATAAAGCACTTAAATTATCTTTTCTTGCCACATGTTTATATATCATAAGAATTGTCAAAGTTACTTCCATATTAATTTATTTTTTAATTTAATTTTTAAATCAACAATTTTAAAACTGGGTTGGCCAAACGAAATGTCCCACCCAGTAAGTGTTTGCTGTAAAAATGTCAACGAATTGACTTAGGTATTCGTCGTGTTGTTTCTACAATAATAAGCCTTCCATGTAGTGGTTAGTACATGTGCCGTTCTAGAATGGGCCTTTTATCACCAAGATCATTAGACAGCTTTTGAATAGTCACTGGTTTAAAAACACAACAGGGTGAGAAAGAAAAAAAAAAGAAAAGTCTTTTCAGCATAAAAAAATCAATCCACATTATATCAAGCGCACATAATTAACAAGGTAATTTCCATGTTGAAGACATAAACTTCAGCTTCATTTTTGGCATCATTCATCACAAGGTATGGCAAATGGTTACATACACACACACAACCAGCATTCCACTCAAATACAAAACCTTAAATTACAATCTGATCGGAGCAGTAAAGGACATTTGCAATGCCACCTGTGTGCTAGGCTCAGTCCAAATCTACAAGCACTGGGTGATTCAGTACCAAAAATCTATTCCATTACTCATATATTAGAACATATATTTCAAAGGTGGCTACTGAAAAAAAAAATCTGAATACATTATGCTAAACCTCTTCTCATAAAACTGGAACCCATACTATTCCAGATCAGCTTTCAACAGTAAGCACATTTGACAATTTGATGCAGCAAAAACATGGACATCGCCATTCAACTCTGATGGTAATGTACCTGGTCTAGGACATGAAGAGGTCACCCTCTTTGCTGTTAAGTTCAAATCATGCTTGTTGTAATCAGTTCTGTTGTTAAACGTCCAACTATGACCAACAAGGTTAGAAAACTTTCTTCTTTTTTAACCAATGAGTCAGGACAAAACATAGACACCCACACATAAATGGTACTAAGAAACGGTTACAGCATCACATTTGAAAGGATAATGGTAGAAAGAGCATTCATGATTTCTTAAACTTAAATCATCCCCCCCAATCCCCATTCTATTTAGATCACAAACTAGAAAATCAATTATATCTTTGCAAAGTTCAATGATAGCCACAAAATGATGTAGTTTTATTTTACTTAACTATTGAGCCCTTCAGTCCAGAACACAATATAAAGGCCTAGTTAAAAATAAATTAATGCAGTATCAACACCCCTACAAGAGTAGAGAACTTCCTTAGTGGGGATGGCATAAGAGACGTGATCTGTCACAGGTGTAAGAGATACAGGTTATATGTCACAGCTTTTGTATCTACTAACATATACGCCACCTAGGTTAGGCAGCTCTAACCACCCTCGCCCTCAAGCTTCACTTATTTCCACCCTTGCCATTAAAAAAATAATAAATGAAGTGACAGAATTCTCAGCAAAATTAATATGTAGAAAACCAATGATCCAATGACTGTACAGCAGATGCTAATTAACTAGAACTAATTTCAGCATGCACACCCTTCCTTTGGCTTGCTTTGATCATCCTTGAGCTTGATGGGGTCTGGGAAGTCACTGCACAGCTCCACATCAGACTCTTGTGCCATGGCATTCTTGGCCACTGCCTGGAAGGCCTGCTCCACGTTGATGGCTTCTTTGGCTGAAGTTTCAAAGTAGGGGATGTCTCCTTTACTGTGACACCAGCCTTGAGCTCTACGCGCTGACACCTGATGAAGACATTTCAGTTAAAATAATATAGCTTCACATACAGAAATTTTGTAGGCTCATCTTGTCTTTATTACCTCACATAAAATGTATTTTAAAACTTAAGTCTATATGTATCCAAAGAAATATTAGCATTTTCTCTGCACATAACTATCCCCATATGTACAACTTAAGACCAAAAAATTATTTTTTAAAAAATGAAGAAAAAAAATTAATAACATCTCTTCAGGTGATTCTAACACCTGTTTTGAAAATTATCATTATTTTTATTTTTTTGTAAACAGCGATGTTTTCAGAAGCTATGACTCAAATAATTTGTGTTCAGTGGGGTACATGACATAAAAAAAAACAAAAAAAAACTCCCAAAATAACCATCCCCAGCTCCTAAGACACATAATACACGGATGATTCTCATATTTAACTCACTGCTCTGTTTTCCAAATCAATTTTGTTTCCAATAACAACAAAGGGAAAGTTCTCTGGGTCCCTGGGAGATGCCTGAATAAGGAACTCATCTCTCCAGCTGTCCAGTGATCGGAAGGTGTTGGGCATGGTCACATCAAACACAAGTACACAGCCGTCAGCGCCACGATAGAAGGCCACTCCTAGAGACTGGAACCTCTCTTGACCAGCAGTATCCCAGATCTGATGGTATGATAATATCATGCAAACAATGAAATAATTATGGACAAAACTAGCAACATGGAATTTTGAGCTCCTTCAATTGTGCAGAAACCTAATAACCAACTTAGTGAACAGAAACATAAACAGACGTAGCCATTTCTCTGTATTGTGTATATTATGGTATCTTAAATTTATTATTAACAAAAAATAAATTAACAACACCCCCACCCCCACTATTCCATAACACTGAAATCTACAGTTATTATGTCTAGGATAAATATTGCTTTCACATAAAAGATGTTCCGTCCCCACCTGCATTGTGACTAGTCTGTCATCCACCATAACTTCTTTTGTGAGGAAATCTGCTCCTATCGTGGCTTTGTATTGGTTGCTGAATTTCTTGGCGACATACTGGTTCATCAAAGAAGTTTTTCCAACGCTGACAATAAAACCAATGAAAAATTGACTCTCACTATTGATATTTCAATAAAGTTACTTTTTAACTACTATTATTGTTTAGTTTTTTTGTTTTTTTAAAACTGTTTTGACTTATTGAAAAAAGGACCAATTAAAAACATGTCATAAATATAGCAAGAAGACAGTTTGCTTGAAATTTAAAACTAGTACCGGTACTAGCTAATTTAAGCCTACTCACCCACTGTCTCCTAATATGATAACCTTCAACAGCACCTTCTTTCTGGATGCCATTGCCTGCAGTTGTTTGTTGCCGGACTAAACTTTTGGTAGACTGTTTAATCTACAAAAAAAGAGAAGGAAACTAACGTATTTCCTTTTGAAATGGCACGACAATGTTAATTTTATCACCAGCCAAAGCACGGAAATAAGAAATTTAAAACCCCAGCCAATCCAACATATGTTAGGAATAGCATGTTAATAAATGACTCTGAACCTGACTACTGGCCCCTTTTAAGCTTAAAGAAAATCAATATAAAATATCTCAGAAGATTCAGCTACCAACATATAGTTGAGATGCGGAAGAAGACTATCCGATAGATTGAGTGAACATCGGAGTGTTGAAAAAAACGCATCCAATCTTAACGGAGAGGAAAACAAGGGATTCAGATTATATTCATCACAGCTTTATTTCTTGAACTAATATTCCAGCAAGAGTGAAGAATGAAAACCAATTAATTCAGACTTCCTGCACCTCATGGAATCAATCAAGAGCTCTCTTACTAGCTATACATAATTTCACTCCATTTCTACTCTCAATTTTTGATTTAAAAATGTAACAATTATAATTTAATTCTTTTATCTTGATTGAACACACAATAAAATAATGTGGGAAGTGCGTTTTGAAAACTTAATTTTCGTTTCTAATAATAACACTCTCCTGTTCTGAACATTGAACTTCATTGACTTTATTGAGATTTTCAAAAAACTTTATTTTTAAAGAATTATCGGTTGTTTCTTGTTTTGTAATTTTGTAATTTTGTAATTTTCTGCAGAAGACGGCTTCTAAGCCGAAACATCCATTTGATTGTCATGTCTTTTCACACCTTAAAATATCTGGTTGCATTATTTATTTACTTCACACAGCTTGAAGACACATATATTATCTTTAAAAAAATTTAAAAAAAACAAACTATAACCTCAAACCGCTCATCTATGTTCATTAAATATGCAAACATAACAGAGACATCACCAACACAAATGTAACATAGTACAGGAGGAAGAAATAAAAAATATATTGCTTATACTTGACCTGACTTTCTAGCCACATGACCCCCCATGTGACATATCCTGTGACATTGATGGAGTAAACTCTTGTCTAAAATTTACTACCCACTGCCAACATTGTACAACTAAAATATTGCTTAGTAACAGTTTCAGTAGAGTTGCAAAAAACATTTTAAAAAACCTTTTATGTCAAAAAACGGTGACTAGAATATGAATATAAGTATAAAAAATATTAATCAAAACTTGTTAGAAAAAATGTTGACATCATAATGGCATTTTTACGCATTCAAATCTGGCTGGTGTCATTCAGAAAATTGCTCTACGTCAAGTAGAGAATAAAATAAGGTGACCTGCCATTTGCCAAACTTATACTCCCATAACCAGGTGCTAACAACAGGTTAGAGCTTAACAATGTCCAGCTACATTTAAACTCAGCCTTCAATGACACACCTGATAACTGAAATGCTAAGATAACCAAAAAAAAAAAAGACTTGCTATCAGTGACTGTCTGTACAGAACCAGAGTAATCTAAGTTGACAGCTTGAAACTTGTATTTCACTTTGACAAGGCATGCAGGTTATTGTTAAGCCTTTTGTGTGATAAACAATGCATGTAAATTGTAAATGTTACTTTAAAATGCACCTCATTGTTTTCTTCCTCTTTATTAGGTTGTATTAGCTTTAGCACTAACTGCTCATCACACAATTTAACAGTAAAAAACATACACTTCTTAGATCTACAGATTAAACACTTTTGATTTAATTATTATCAATGGTAGTAGAGAGAACATGATATCCCTTAACCATGATAACATGAATGGAAGTTGTTTAATCTTTAATACTACTTTAATTCGTCTATTATTTATTTTGTTATAGAAATTATTAATCCACAAAAGTTAGTAGGAAAAAGTGGTAGTCAAAACAGGAATAACAAAGACTTAAGAGAACTGCAAAGAGAGCCTTCAGTGAAACAAATACAATCCTTAAACAAAGTTAGAAAAAGAAAAAAGGAACCATTCCAAGATAGTATACACTATAACTGTGATATGAAAACTAATGCTACAGATGAAGATGACGTTACAAATAGATAATTTGCTTATCTGTGCCTAAGGCCAAGTTTAACAAATTGAATTCTTACCTGTTCTTGTTATGTGTATTGAGTTTATGACTACTAAACTCCCAAGGAGATCAGGAGAATCTTTAAAGTCACAAATGCAGTTATTGAGGTCCCACTGTTCCTGCAAATAAAAGTTTCCAAGAATCTATTAAATTATTTCTATAATTCTTTATGAACTATATATAAATTGTTATATTGCTGATTAACTGAAAATCTCAATGTACATTTTTTATACAGTAGATTAAGTTTAACATGTCAAAACAGGAATAGGAATATCCAGTCCAATAAAACTACTGCTTTCTAAAACCAAAGTTACTGGTAAAAGTTGAAACCCAAAATTAAATCAGATTGCCTTTTCATAATATAAAAATACTGGCAAATGATAATGATGTGTTACAAATTTGAGATCAGGCTTTACTGAGTTATTTAAAAAAAGGTTTACATTTTGAAATAATTAGTAATATTAAGATCATAACAAGAAAGCATAGGTAGGAGGCCACGCTTAACTGATGTCACACTAGTTTTGGAAAAATTGACTCTTCGGCCCGTCCTAGTTGTTTAAAATCATTTATCATTATGGCCCCTTACAGCATAATGAGCTAATGAATTAGAGACAGAGTTAGAATTCGGAGAAGGGGGAGGGGGAGAGAAGAAGGGTGTTTAGAGAGAAGAAGGGTTTAAGTCTGATGTGACTGATGTGTCTTAAGAATCAAGAATCACCCTACTTATATTAATTAGGCCTAACAACTTAAAAACGTGTCAATTTCAATAGTAAAAATAAATTATAAAGGTTTAAGACATAATCATGATCATAAATAAAAGGAACAGGAGTAAAATTTATTGCATTTAAGCTCTGACTTTTCAACGAAAAACTGCAACTTAAGAAACAAAAACAAACCCATGAGTTCAACTCGATTCCAGACCTTATTTATTTTGATTAAATTTAATGTCTTAATCAAATATTAATTGTGATGACAATGATGGCGATGGTGATCACTGAAATTCTATGATTATGAAATTATGATTCTTCATCCCAAGTCAAAGACTATACTACTACTACTATGACTAAGTCAAAGCCAAAACCAAAAAGTAGACTTGTCATAAAAGATCACAAATCAACTCACAGCACAAAATCTACGTGTTAAAGTCAATAAAACAAAAAAGACTGGCATAATTTAAATGATATATGAAAGTTATGGGCCTACCAAGTTATGCCTACCCTTTATAAAATGATTTTTTTAGTAGAAGAGAATCTTTCCATCGACTTGGTGATCACAGTACAGAAAACAAACACCCTTAACAATATGGCGCTAAATCCCGTGACCAGTGACGTCACTTTCCTTAGGTCAGCTGTTTAATCAACTTCCGGATCAATCGATATACTGGAAAGCATGTAATTCCAAATTGTAAACAAGGCCTACGCGATCTTCTAGCAACTTTTCCTTTTATAATCGAATAAAGGAATTTATATAATTGAATTATTTACCAACTTTATAATACGGTAAACATAATAAAGGGTAAACATCTTATATAGATAAAAGTGGTTTGACTATTAGCTAAACTCTTTTGCTGTTAATGGCAATACTTCAGGCTTCAGGCATTACATATGTATTCTTGAGAGAATAATTTCCTTCTTTGCTGCATCCACTCATCGATGGGATGTTTTAATTGAATACACTTGAATTTCGGTGAAAAGGCTGTCAACAACACATTGGAGTGCTCATCATGCCGCTGTTAAACAGTGAAATTATTGAGTGAAAGATAAGTTTGATGAAAAGTGGCGGAGATTTTATGTGTTCCTCTTGACACTTGAAAATTTGGATACAAGAGGTGCATCACAAGGCCAAGGTCTTTAATTTCACGTTTATCTGGTACCTTTACCTTTGGGCTGATCTACTTAAGGAAGTTAATCTTACACGGCAGTATGTGCAGACTAAAGGCTTTACTCTTGAGAAAGTGGTGACCAACCTAGAAGCATTTCAGATTGTTTCTGCAAGAGAAGTGCTGTCACTGTGGAACATGCTATTGTAAATGCACTTTTAAAATAAGACCCCAAAAAGTCTATAAGGAATTTTGGTAGAGAGAAGGTTAAAGTTTAAGGAGAGAATGGCAGGAGAACAATTAATAGATGCTGGACTCTCTCTGCTAGAAGAAAACTGTAGGTAGATGCTGGGGTGTATTGATCGCTTTCATTTTGAACTCCAGATCTGATCATCTTACTAACCCTAGTATCAGATATGTTTAGGGCTGTTTAACCCAAGAGTCTACTATCACCAAGTGAGGATGAGTTATTGGTGTCCGTTCCAAAATTAATCTCCTGTGATGGGTTATCATAATATGAACTTTTAAAAAAAAATACCAAGACTTAGACTTAGAATAAACCTAAAGACAGCTGACATTGAATTTTACAAAGTCATGGACTGGTCACTATTTGATGTTTTGAAATTCATAGCTGAATTGGAATTCCTAGAATCTCTTCCAATATTCGCGTCAAGTGTTTTCAATTGGTTCTTCGGATCTGTGGCTCCATGTGAGCGGAGCTTTTCAGAACAAAGGCTTATCAAGAACTATTTACGATCCACCATGGGACAGTCAAAGTTTTCTGCTCTGGACATAATATCAATTAAAAATATACTGTGAATTGATTTTGATCAAGTGATTGACAAGTTTGCAACTTTGAAGACCGGGAAAGGAAAATTTTAAATAAAGAAAACTTAGTTTAAAATAACTATAACTTAACCTTGTTACAGTTCTTAAATCAATTAACCTCCTGACCTTTAATTAATTTTTTTTTTGTTCTTGTCATTGTCATATTGTAGACTTATTTTAACAAGAAGTAATCCATTGTGGAAGTCGGGAAGAGGGGGGTGACCCCATGAGTTTACCGCAATGGGTGACACCAACCCTAGCTACGCCACTGTTAATGGGACATACCAGAATCTCTCCAAATTCTTATCTTTATGTTGCATGTTCCGGTGAGGGGCGGGGATTGGTGATATATATATATATATATATATATATATATAATATATATANTATATATATATATATAATATATCAAATATTAAACAATTTATTAGACCAGTGGTCAGCTATTGTTGATCTTCACTTAGTTATATACCCATTTTTGTTTTTTTCCTTTGTTTAGAGCCACTGTCACTATGGCTGAGGATGAAAGTTCTCCAGATTTTCACTCATCAAAACTTGGAACACAAGAATAGTTAGTCAGAATTTAATTTGAAATGTCTGATTCTTATCTGACTTAAATTTAAATGTCTGTTTAAATTATGTATATTATTTTGAATGGATGTTAGTCAGTGTATTGATAGGCTTAAGGTTTGCACTGGGTCTAGTGTTAAATTCAATATTTGTTAGTTGTGTCAATTTTGAAATGACGTCATGTTAATATTTAATCTAGATTTTGTGTAATTGGAACAAATTTTAATGTGTTCATTTGAGAATTCAAGAGCATTTTCCCCAAAATAATGTAAACATATTTCAAAATTTGTTCAGAAATAGTCTTTTTCTAAAAGTGCTAAAGTAAATAAATTACCATTAATAATTAATGTTTCAGCTGGGATGCAGCCTACAGTCAAGAGCTACAAGCATTTCAAGAGCTTGGTGATGTAGGGGAAATTTGGTATGTCATTGAGTTGCACCTAGAATTTAGGTGATGTAGGGGAAATTTGGTATGTCATGGGGTTGCACCTAGAATTTAGGTGATGTAGGAGAAATTTGGCATGTCATTGGGTTGCACCTAGAATTTAGGAGATGTAGGGGAAATTTGGCATGTCATTGGGTTGCATCTCGAAGCTAATTGACAGATTGCAGATTAATCAGCCTTGCTACATCAGCTAATGTCAGTTAGTCAACCGTCAATTATTTATAATGTATTGTGCTTGAGATGCAAATAATTATAAGTGATATATAATTATATTTCATATTTTATATAGAGGTAACTAGATTCCAATAGTTTTCACGAAAAGCAGAAAAGCAGTGAAGTCAAATTGACTTGACTTATGAAGGTGAAGCAACCAAAGTATGACATTGATGATGCTATTGATAAGAGAATGATTATTTTTGCCATTTGAAGATGCTGCAAGTGGTCCTTCTGGAAGGCTTTCCTGACCCACCATGACAGACGGGCACTAATTTGTCTTGATATACACATTTAAATATCCACACAAATAACTTGTCATATAAAATGCATCTTTTCACCATTCTAGTGATACGAAAATAATAATAGGAAATAACTGAACAAGAAAATTCAAAGTATTAGTTATGTCATATCAAGCTATTGTGGCTTCACAGCATATGGCAGCATATGGCAGAGTTTTAATTTTTATGTGGTGCAATGGTGTAGGTAGGAGGGTTTGGAGGCACAAACACACCCCTACCCACCCCACCCCATTTTGCACCTTTTGTATTGAGTTGCGTCACTTTTGACCAACTGCATAGCTTTTTCTAGAGAATGGGGTGGAAAAAACCAGGCAAAATTATGGATGTGGTGTCCACCTTACTAGTGGGATCATTAACAACACCACTAAAAAACAACAGCCAATCAAATAGGCAGGGTAATAATTAACATAAGAAAGGTCACCTGGAGACTTTTCTGCAGGCCAAAGTTTGTTTGCCTGATTCATTAAATGAAAAGTGAAGTTACTGATAAATAAACAATGCCGTCAATTATGAATATTTTAAATTAGCATCAAATAAATCAATACCACCTTAACGTATCATGTAATGGAAATGAGGTATGTTATGTAGTGAAATTATGTTATGGTTTGTCATGTAGTGGATTTATGATATATCTTCTAGTGGAATTATGATATATCATGTAGTGGTATGTCATGTATGTCACTATGTGGCTAATCGATTGCTTTTTATTAAACTTGAAAGGTTTGGAGAGGAGGCACAAGAGAGAATGGTCCGATGGTTAGCAGATAAATCAGAGTTACCTCCCTCATCAGCAATTGTTGATCTTGGCTGTGGCAATGGCATGCTCTTACTTGCACTTGTAAGCTGAGTACAAAGTCTTCGTTCTTGTAAGCTGAGCACAAAGTGTTTTTCCTGCTTGTATTTGTTAGCTGAACACAACATGTTTTTTCATACTTGTATTTGTAAGCCTTATACAAAAAAAAATGGTTCCCACTTGTATTTATTGTTTGCTGAACACAAAATGTTTATGTTCCTACTTGTATTTGTTAGCTGAGCACAAAATGTTTGTTCCTGTCAAAGTCAAATGCTCATTTTAATTTGACTATCATGAGTTTTTATTTGTTTCTAGTAGGGAGTTGTGTATTATTACCTAGATTAAAACAGGAATTAAACTTGATTAAGAAGTTGCTTGTGAGATCGTAGTGAAACTGTACTGGTTCTGCAACCACAATTATTTCATTTTAATATATGGAGTTATGTGGGTGATTTTTCGGTTGTGTCTTACAGAGAGAGCGGGGATTTTCTGATTTAATAGGCCTGGATTACTCGGAAGGGGCTATAGAGCTCTCAAAAAAAATTGCAGAAAAAAAACAAGGGGAAACAAACATTACATTTAAGGTTTGTTTTTTTTTTCTTTAAAAAATGTTTTTACTTGTAAAAAATCCATACCATTACCAGCTATTGTCAGTAATTAAAACAGGATACAATTTAAACTAATTTTTTTTCAAAAGCATCAAAATAGACTTTGGTACCTTATCACGTCATATTACCTCTGTTATTGACAGGCTTAGGTTGGTACTTTATTTCTATTATTATTGTTAGCTGGTACTGCAAATATGTCAAGATATCCCTGGAAACAGGTCGATGATTGAAGTTACCATTATTATTAACATACTTAAACCAATCATTATATACAAATTTTTCAACAGATTTATCCAATTCTGTTAGTAATATTTAAATTTATTTAGTTTTTAATGTTGGTTCGTCATATCTTTTAAAAAAATAAATCTAGGTTTGCGATTTGTTAAGTTCTAAAGCAACTGAGAATCTCTTCTGTGGAAAACGTTTTGACGTTTGTCTAGACAAAGGGACGTATGATGCTATCAGTTTACATAATGTTGAGAAGCCAGATGATCGCCTGGCATACATTCATAATGTCAGCTCGCTATTGAAGGAGGCAGGCCTACTCATGATAACGTCGTGCAACTGGACGCGTGAGCAACTTGAAAAACAGTTTCAAGAAGGTAAACTTCTGAGTCATGAGAAAATGTATGTGCACTGGTTTGTGCATCCACAAGTCATGCGGAAATTTTTTTTATTTTTTAACCATATCTTTTTAAAGAGTTTTATTTTAAACAAATTTTGCTCTTCTACTTAAGATCTGGTTATTTTTTCCTATAAAAAAATAATTTATTTCAAATACTGTCCAACCTGTAGTTTAACATGATCCAATCTTTACTTATTAATCCGATTAGTTCAGTTGCTGGGTAACTTTTGTCCCTGATGATGATAGCCTAATTTTCAATAAATAAATGGAGATAATCCTGTTGATTTTTCAGAAATGTCAGTTCTTTGATTTTCCACATATGATTTTATGTTAGGGTACCATCCAAAATGATGTTGCGATGTGAGGATGTCAAACTTTTTGTTACACATTTGTGATTTGGGGGGAGGGGTGTGTAAATTTCTGCCAAAATAGGGTGTCCGCTCCTCATTTATGGGTGGCCCTTAACTCTTCATTACCTGGCTAATAATATATCTTTTATTTTCAGATTTTGAATTCGTTCATGAAATACCTGCACCAAAATTTAAATTTGGTGGAAAGTCTGGGCAAACAGTGACAACATTAGTTCTTAAACGGAAAAATTAAACCAGATGACATCATCATTATAATAAAAACATATTTATTTGTCATCATACTCGTTGTAATAGTGTTAAAAAATGGAGAGCTCTTTTAAACTAAATGTCATTTTCAGGCTTATATTGAAATGTCATTTTCAGTTATTCACTGATACTGATGATAATATATTCTCAATAAAGACCCAATAAAATGTTGTAACCTATGTTTGATTTGTGTAACATTAAAATGATTCCAGTCTTAAAAAAAAAAAAGCCAGTTGCATGGCTATCATCATATTCATCAAGAATATAACATCATCAAGAATATAACATCATCAAGAATATAACATCAAAGCTTTTGCTTTAAGTTTAAGATTTTTTTTGGTATCCAGCTTTTGAGCCACTGACATCAACTTTTTTTTTGGCATTTACCTCTTTCAGTGACTGGCATCCCTTTGACCTGTACTCTAAGTTTTCTAGTAAGATTTATTTTTAAAATAGTATTGCTTGCTACCAATATAAACTGTAACCAGTGTGGGTCCGCAAAAAAATGTCACATGTGGCAGATTGGCAAAGAAAATTTGTGCCTGCACTTTTAGTTAGGTTACCCCTGGAGGATGGTGCTAATGTCGAACATTTTAAATTTTGTCCATGATTTTATTTTTTAAATCACCTCTGGATGATGTTTAAGATTTGTCAGATTTTAATTTTTTTTAAAAACAACAAAAAACTGATTACACACATACATAGTTTTTGAAGAACAAATTTTACCATTTTTAAAATATAATTTAATTCCTCATCATTTCTGTACAGTTATTTACAATCTCTTCAGCAGATGAAATGTGTAAGTGTTAATGAACATCTTCATGAACATTCAATTATAATAAGTGCATACAAATAATAATAATAATAAACAATAGAAATCACATTGAATGAAATTTAAAGTCCAAAATAACAAAGTAAAACACAAAGAAATCACATTGAAACCCAGAACTACTGATCTATTTACATATGGTACAAGCAAAGCATAAAGCGAAATTTTGTGATCCACTTCTCCCATTTGTTGCATAAATATCTATTTTCTCAAGAAACTTTTTTTCTTTCTTATGGCTCAACTTAGAACAAGGCAGTTCATTTCAGGTTTATAAATGTTGCCGACGCTTTCAATCAACTCTAATAAAGCATTGAAGTGGGCAGATATCTATGTCAACCCTAAGACACAAACGCAATCTTTTGTACCGTATATCAATGTACCGTATAACATTGAAATTGTTTTATTTGTGGCACTTCCAGTTTTAAAAATATATCCATCCTTTTCTGGTTTTTAGACCATTCCTATCCTATTTTTGAAATTTATATGAAATTTATATGAGGTCAGAAACATACATTATAATTGAACTAATTTGATTAAGTTTTCATAAAAATTAGCGTTTACATAATAATCTACATTTCAAGATTCATTTGTATTTGAAATGTCTTGAGAGTGAGTATATAGTTGTTAATAGATGCTTTTCTCCCTTTCTTTATCACCATGAAAGTAAACATAGATGCTTTTCTCCCTTTCTTTATCACCATGAAAGTAAACATGTGTCAGTGTCTGTCATGCCATGGCACTAAGACTTAATAACTTCCACAAATCTGTTCAATAACACCCCCCTCATCCTTTCCACCCCTAGTAAAGCATAGCTGTATCAAGTAGTGTTAAAATTATTTTTAAAAAATGGAACATTAAAACCATTTAAGCATACCCTTACCATGAAGAAATGGGACAGTCAAATCAAATCGGCATACTCTTAACTATAATTAGGAAGTGGGACAGCCAAACCAAATTGAACATTTTTTTTTAAATGTGGGAGTATCACTGAACAAGACAATTATTGGTTCATGCTTTTGTAATAAGACATGTTTGATAATGGAGCCAGGCAAAAGAGAAAGTATACTAGATGGGTGGCCAAATGGTCTAAACTGAACAAACCTCAAGTTGGTGGTCTGGTGTTCAAGTCTAGCCAAAGGCCAGTCAAGCAAAAACATCACCCTGGGTGGATGAGACTCGTTAACCTTGATCGGCAACTCATCTAAGAGATGGAAACTCTGAATTCAAACCCGGAGTTGGAGTCCGAAGTCCCGTAAGGCGCAAACAATGACAATGCCTGCAACCGAACCCATCCCTGGTCGTCTTGACATAGCGTCTTGCCACTGGATATGGTGGGCTCGGACGAGAGAGTGAGGTAGACGCCGCGCAACTCTTCTTTCACTTTAAACAAAGTCACCCGCGCAAGTCATCAGTCACCAGACGACTCGATGGTCCTCGTCGATCCTCGACAGACAAACAATAATACTAGATCTTTACTGGAGTACATTTGAGACAGCTATTAACTTGAAGTAAAATGGCTTCGTTATTTTATTGACATCTCTCTCCATCTTGCAACTTCAACTATTTTTAGAATGCTCCACACAAGTGTCTATCATAAATGTATCAGATGCAACCATATTTAGAATACACTCACAATTTCTCAGATGACTTTCAAAGGTGTTTATGGTATTGTGATATGCATAAAATAATAATAAAAAGTGTTTTAAACCTTTCTTTTGGTATTATTTTTATGAATTCTAGTAAATTTCTTGAACAAATTTTTATAAAAAAATCACCATTGCAAGTTAAGGGTGCATTTAAATACCTAGATTTTACTACTTAAATTATTTATGTTTTTAGTGAGTAATCTGCATTACATATCAAATTTTGTAACTGTGGACTACTTGTGTATGCCATAGAAACCATAAAACATTGTACAAACAACAGTGTACAAACACAAATATTCTACAATTATTTGCAAACGTTAAACATCTAGAAATAATTGGTTATAATGAACCTATGTCATGTGCTAGGGCTATTGAAAGTGTTAGATGTGCTGAATGAACAGCTCATGGACTTTGCCGAACTTAATGGAGACACAAGTGTGGTATACTCGAGACACATACATCTTTGTACAAAGACACTTCTGTGCACTGTACTAAAGACACTTCTGTGAACTGTACTCAAGAGATTGACATCAACTACAACAATAACTACAATAGCTGGCTAACGAACCAAAGAAATAAAGTGTGTCTTGTGATGCTGCCCTGAGGAACTTACAGTTGGTCTATGCAATGACACTGTGTAATGTCATAAGTCGACATTATGCCATGTGTCATCTGTATTTCGAAATGTAATTCTGAGCTATAAAACAGCTTCATCAATTACCACAGTACTAGAGCTTGTAGCACAGCGGTTCTCAACCTGTCGGTCGCGACCCCTTTGGGGGTTGCATGACCCTTTCACAAGGGTGGCCTAAGACCATCTGAAAACACAAACCGGTACTCTAAAGTTATATAGTATCAACGAAAATAAATTTGTGGTTGGGGGGTCGCCGCAACATTAGGAACTGTATTAAAGAGTCCCGGCATTAGAAAGGTTGAGAACCACTGCTGTAGCACAAGTCTGCAACTGCAGCACAACCCTGAACAAACCCTTGCTAAGAAAGATGAACATTATACAAACAAAGAAAGATGAACATTATACAAACAAATATAAAGATTGCATATTATGAACTTCTGATGGGGGAAGGACTAAGTGAGAAGTAGATAGACCTGTGTGCCCCATAATACCTGTGTGCCCCATAATACCTGTGTGCCCCATACAATTTCAAAAGTTTTTCTTTTTCTGGCTTTTTTTTTGGATGAACATTTATTTCAATCCAAGGGACAAAACAAATATTTTTTTTAATAGAAGTGCTGTACCGGTATTTACAAAACTTTGTAGCCGTTCTTTAAAAATTCACTTCCTTGGCGACCGGTCTCATGACGATTTGGCGCCTGGAGGGTTAATGCCCCCCTTTGTTGCCCTCTATGCAAACAAGAACATAAACTCTTAAAGATGGAGACTTCCAATTTGCTGTGGCAGGTAATCACCTGTCTTAGCAGGGATATTGGTCTAGTTCAGCAGGACCACTCATGTGGCCAAAGGTTTCTGCAAAGGTGATGACGACGGTGACCTGTGCTGTGCTTGCTGCGGCGGTTGTTGTGCTGGATGCTGCTGCTGCGGCCCCATGTCCTCGGGAAGTTTATTCTCCGCTTTCAGCTTTTTCCACATATTGGCTCCCAAAGCTTTGGCGAAATGGGCATCGACGGTGCCAGACAGAGCCTCAACCGCTGGTTCGGATCTGGCTTTAATCTCTGTCCACATCTGGTCGCCAAGGGCACGGGCAAAGTGGTCATCTACTGAACCTGTCAATCACAAGGACGAAATTTGAGATTGCAACAAATGTTTTCCAAGATTCTAAAACTTTTTTAAGCAGAACTGTTTCTATATTGTAACCTTAGACACTAGAGCTTGTTAAAAGGCAATATACTATAATGAAATGGTATCAAGTGAGCTTTACAGTTTAAACAAGGTTTAGAAAGTATGCAATGTGTAATTAAATGGCACCCTAGAGCCCCATGTAATATTGTACTTAAAAGGACCCAAAGATCCCATGTACAGTTTTTTCATGCTGCTGTACAGTAATTGAGGATTTTTTTACGTGTTTCCCCCCCCCCCCCAAAAGGTTTGCATGTAATAATGTACTTATTTGGAACCCTAGGGCCCCTTTTAATAATATACTTATAGGACACCCAAGGGCCTCATGTATTAATACACTTATATATGGAACCCTCCTAGGGCCCATGTAATTTTGTACTTTAATGACAACCTTAGGGCCCATTTAATATTGTTCTCAAGTGATACCTTAAGGCCCCTTGTATATCTGTAATTAAATGACACCCCCCAAAGCCACTCTGCAGTAATGACCATTAAATAGTCTGCCCGAGACCAGATGTTTATCGCAAAAAAATAATTTAAAAATTCTGTATTCAGAAAAAAAAAATGAGATTTCACCGTGAAATTATCAGTAAATAGAATTGATTAATTTACCAAGTGAATAACAAATTAATACTTTTTAATTAAAATGAATCAACCCTACAAAAACTATTTTAAAAAAAAACAACAACATGACTTTAATTATAATTATAATGAATATTTTGAAATAATCAAAACCAGGACATATCAATATTTAAATGCAGCTTTAAGGCTAAGCATAAATCGATTTTTAAAAAAATTTTAAACAAACCGCCCCAAGCTATACTTATCCATACGAAGATTGGGGTTGGGACAACAAAGCTTTAAGTAAATTAAATAGACGAAGTTTGTAAAAGAAATTTAGAACAGTAGATTTAATCCCAACCACTTACATATTTTCTCCGACACATGCACCGTGACCTTTTTAGGAGAGGCGGGCTCGGTATAGCATTTGCCCAGCGAGCGTCGGAAATGCTCTTCAATGGCTTCGTCTGATACTGGAGATCAAGAAATCAAGTTATTTGTTATTTTCCCACCATTGCACTTCAAATGTATAACTATTATTGTCAGTTACAGGTGTGACAGTTGCATCCATAATCCAGTATGCTTTTTTTTCTTCTTCTTTTGAGCATGGATAACAAAGCTATCCACTGTACTAGGATACAATGAATAACAAAGCTATCCACAGTGCTCAGATACAATGAATAACAAAGCTATCCACAGTGCTCAGATACAATGAATAACAAAGCTATCCACAGTACTCAGATACAATGAATAACAAATCTATCCACAGTACTCAGATACAATGAATAACAAAGCTATCCACAGTACTCAGATACAATGAATAACAAATCTATCCACAGTACAGTTCCTTTGAGCATGAAAACAAAGCTATCCGATTTACTAGGATATAAAAAAAAATAACAAAGCTATCCACTGTACTAGGATACAATGAATAACAAAGCTATCCACAGTGCTCAGATACAATGAATAACAAAGCTATCCACAGTACTCGGATACAATGAATAACAAAGCTATCCACAGTACTCGGATACAATGAATAACAAAGCTATCCACAGTACTCGGATACAATGAATAACAAAGCTATCCATAGTACTCGGATACAATGAATAACAAAGCTATCCACAGTACTCGGATACAATGAATAACAAAGCTATCCACAGTACTCAGATACAATGAATAACAAAGCTATCCACAGTGCTCAGATACAATGAATAACAAAGTTATACACAGTACTCGGATACAATGAATAACAAAGCTATCCACAGTACTCAGATACAATGAATAACAAAGCTATCCACAGTACTCGGATACAATCAAAGTTCTTCATTTTGGTGCCTGACCAACTTTATGTGTGTGACCAGGGTCAATTTATGGCCTTTGGGGCCCTTCGCCTGGGCACATACTAGGCAGTTCATCATGGACTAATCTAAGTAGACTATATGTTGCCCTGACCTTCAGTAAGGTCCACTCTAGGTTGGTCTAATATGTATGGCCCTGACCTTCACAAAGGTCCAATCTTATGGCCAATTGTGTACGGCCCTGACCTTCACCAAGGTCCAATCTAGGTATGGTCTAATAGAGTGTTCGGCAAACTCATTAGTCAAAGAGAGCCAAAAATCAGCAGCATGACGATTAAAATTTTGCCGAGAGCCAAATTTATTTTCAAGAACCTGTCAAGAGCCATGTTTTTCGGAGTCAAAACCAATTTGTGGCCGACTCGCGAGCCGCGGTTTGCCGACCACTGGCCTAATATGTATGGCCCCGACGTTCACCAAGGTCCATTCTAGGTAT